CCTGAAAGTTGCCATTTGGCGAGTAAACCATCCCATGAGCAGCCAAGGTCACGTTTGCGATTTTATGATTACGGTGCCGGTTGGTGCCACTCATGATATGGAAAGTATGGGTCGGTTTATCCTGGAAAATCGGGAGCGGTTGACGCCCATGCTGGTGGCGCTGAATCGTGCCTTGTTTGCAATTGAGGAATTCAGCAGTCAGTATGCAGCATCAGACTAAAGACATGCGCACTGGCTGGAGGAAGATCCAAGAATCTGATCTTCAACTATATCATATTACCATACCTATTATGATTATTATGATTGTCAATTAAGACCAAGTGCGGCGTGTATTTATATGTATTTATTCCATTGGTCCACTGCAGGCGCTTGTGTCATAGAAGATTACATGCAACTGCTCCGACCCGGTGATTTCACAATGTTTTACTTTTTGTTTCCTTTGAAGCACGCTATGTTGAGTGAATGCGCCCTTTGCACTTGCATGGGCAAGTGTAAACGGCGCAAGAACCGAACAGAACCAAACAGAACAGAACATGCACCTGCAGACAGGTGTGCAGCGAGCCAAAAAGTTTGCAGAGGTCCTTTGCAAGTTCGGTTTCTTGTCAGCCAGACAGCAGAATTAGGGGATGCGATTGTTTCTGGATCCATGCTTGGGAAATCTCTAAGTTTGGGGGGAAATGCCAGCAGTGAAGAGAAACAACATTTTTTGCGGTTGAATATGAGAGTCTTGGATAGTCTTGGGACATATGATGACATATGATATGCATTTTGAATCATTTTGATAAATAGCTAGCTAGATAGATAATGATAGATAGAAAGATAGAAAGAGAGAAAATGATAGAAAAATAGAAAGAAAAATAGCGATGCAGATCAATCTTTGGTCCCGAGCCTTGAAGTCCTCGAGCTTTGGCCTCGCAGCGGAGGACTGTCGGCCAAAGCTGTCGATGGGGGCTTGAACCACACCGTGCGGCATGGGATTAAGAAAGCCCTTTGGCAATCAAAGGCGGTTTTGAAGCGGCAAAAATGGCGATTTAACCATCGAAAATGGAAATTTGAGGATGGACCAAATCCTCTACCATCGTTGGGATGAACATCCATGTGCAAGCTATTTGGCATTTGGCGGTTTCAGCATACCAGGCTTTGTCGCGTCGTTTAGGTTCACTTCTCCAGGCGGCATTTCATGAACCTAAGGATTTGCAAAATGGAAAGCTGGACGCAGTTTCCGTGGTCAATATCTTCAATGAGGCCACACGAAGATTCATGGATTCAAAGGTCCATCCTGGAAGGAAGCCCAATTCAGATCAATTCACGATAATTCACATATGTCCGGGGAAGCTAAAACACATTTAAACATACCAACCATTCAGGATCTTTGGATTGCACCGAGCCGCTATTTCAGGGCACATCCATCAACGAGCTGAAGTCAGTGGTCTTCATGGACAAACGGCAGAGTGCAATCAACGTGATACTTGACGTACGTATACATACCCGTACTTTATGTTTATGGGGTGTCCTTTCCTGCATAAGCTCATAAAGGTGGCTGGTGTGGATGGGTAATCGATGAAAATTACAACAAGAGTTGAGTTAAAGAGAGCTGTGCTCCTCTCGCTTAGATTTCGTTGAGGTTTACTTGTTGCAGACATAGAAGAACCATGTAGAACTGAACTACTAGCTAACTGCCCTAGCAAACTCTTTTACCCCATGCAGCTTTACACATAGATGCAATAAGTCAGGTATCATGCCAGAAGCTTTCAAAGCTCATCGCATTCCCAAGGAAACAGCTGGCGATGCGCGTGACGCGATTGCACGACACCAAACCCTTTGCCAATGTGGTGCTGCCTTTATGTGACTTGAAATCATTCTGACCGGATGGAGGTGGATGCAAGGAAGATGAGATTGTTCAGTTCGAGAGTTAAAAACCACCAACCGGTCGACTGGTTGACCAGTCCCAGTTGATTCAAATGGGGTTTGCAGAACCTGGGGCGAGCACATCCTGTGTGCTCAGGTGATGGGAGCTTTGATAGAGACATCAGAAACATCATCAGGTGCTGCGCAGTGGCTTTGCAAACTGATCCCCCATAGTACGGGATGTACGGGGTTCTGGAGTGTTGTTGGATGGCGGCCATGACCGCAGCTCAGCTTGCAGGTCCCTGGCAGAGATCCACCCACAGCTCAAAGGAAGAGGGCAAGAGCACTTCTGTAAGTGGTTCCCTGGTTCGACAGGGCTGGGGATTGGCAGAAACACCGGTGGCCAGACACCAGGTATCAGTAGGTACTGGCGCGGATTACCGCATTTTACAACTGATGGAATTTAACGGCCTGGAGTTATTCTTGAGGTGTTGATCTTTGTTGATTGTGCTTGTTGGTAATGTGAAGTGTAGAGAGAGTCCTACCTTCCCACAGCTGCCTTCCATTTGCCCTTTGCCTTGCTCCCCTGCTGCCCACCACCGCAGTGTGTTTTTTTTTTCTCCCGCGCTTTGTGCAATCCAGGGTTCTCTTTGCAAGTGTGGGCATGTTGGAAGTTTGTCCAGCAATTCATTTTTAAGGGTGCACCACAGAGGATGGCCGCTGTGTTTCTGCATAGTGGATGGCTCGGAGAAGCCATAGCCATTCCTTTTGTCATCGGAGCGGAGGCACCCAAGCATACATTCTGAGCTTGATGATGAAGCTGTTTGAACCTAATCCCAACCTGTGGCCAGGTTCCATTTCGTGCCTTTGCGAAAGGGGCAGAATTCCAGCACCTGGTGTTGCATTATGCATGGTATATAACGGCATATACTGTATGGCGAATTTGAATTTATCATCGAAGACTCAAGACTCCTTTTTTTGCTTGATAGTAGTGGTCTCTATCTCATCCTTTAATGTGCTGTCACTTTCTTCCAACCCGGGCAGCCACTGAGGCGATCTGGATGGCATGGACTGGACCAATGTTTCGACGGAGCTGTTTGATCGTTATGGGCGCTACCTTGGTGGTGGCAGAGGGATGGAGGCGCCTTTCTGGTTCTGTTTGGGCCAACAAAGGCCATGTCTGCCACAAAGTGGATATGGGATGGGCATGGCCCAAGCATGTTTGCCATCCAAAATGATCCAAAATGGATGATGGAAGATGCAACACAAAAATGACCTGCAGTATTGTTCTGTTCCATTCGGGCCCCCATCGTTTTCCATTTGAGCCACGATGGCAGGTCTTTGACCAACGTGTGCAGCAGCTGACGAACTTCATGGAGGAACATGATCACCTTCCGCAGCGAAAAACACCTCACCAGGCTACCCTTTGGCCGTGCTGCGTGGGAGCGGTATGCCATTGGCGGAGGAAAAAGATTGAAACATTTGAAACCGGGAAACCTTCCCAGAGGCGACTGAAACATGTCGAGATTCTGGGTTGCCCTAGCTGGGTGTTGATTTCTTGCGACGATCTGGTGGGCTGAAGTAGTTCTGCACAATTTCATCCCATTCTTGGTGCTTTGCAGGATGAACGCATGTTGGCAAGTGTGGTGCTCAGTTCTTGTTGGGACGTTGGAGTCTCGCAATGCCAAAGTTCTTTAGATATCGTTAGATGTCATTGGATGTCTTGGATTCCAGTGGGCTCTTTTTGTGGTGCTTCGCAATCAAGAAGGCCTGTAGGCCTCGCTTGGCCCACTTGCGGCCATGTGGCAGACTTGTTTATGACATGTTTCTGAAGCCAAGTTTGTGTGACAAGCCATGAGTGACGAACCTCATCGAGTCTTAGTCTTAGCAGGCAAAGGCCGTATTGACTTGTTTGGAGATTTTGGAGTTTGCTCAGGTTACATCCTGTACTGCAGAAAGAAGTTCAGAGCCAATGTGGCACGGCTAGCAGTGCAGAAGACCAGGGGGCAACCACTTTGCTAGGCTATAATACTATAAGTCAAACTCCGGCCCTGCAGGAGAACCATAGAGAACCGCTAAGATCTAATCCTGGCTGGGAGATGCCCCAAATGGACTGCCAATCGCAAGCGGATATCATTTCCAAGCGGTACTGTATCTCTTGCAGTTTTAAGCGCGCCATTTTCATCCATTTTCAGTACTTACTTGTAGCCCTGTCCTACGATGGAAAGACAGAGCTCCTGCAACAAAGGCGTTTCATTTGTCTACTATCCGTCATAATTATGTACAAGCCCCTAAAATTCTTACAGCTCCGAGCAGAGCCCGCCAAATTGAATCCCCAAAAATGAGTTTCATGATGTTTCATCAAAATTGTTTCGAACCAAAAAGCTCTTCATGCAAGTACCGCCTTGATATGCCATTGGGAATGCTATATCCATAGCATTCCATAGCTATCCATCGGTTACCCCCATCCGCCAGGCCTTGAGCGATGCCCAGATCCTCCAACTACGAGAAATCCCGCAGATGGCGGAGTTCATGGAGACATGGGATGATGAGGTGCCTGCGATAGATGCATTGATGGTCATACAATGTCATACATGAGAATGATGAATGTGATGAATGGGATTTATATATGATTATATATAATTATATATATATATACTTATTTATTTAATGAATTGATCTGCAAAGTCATGTGTGGACTCTGAATTAGGCAGGAGGCCCTATGAAATCCAGGCCTTGGAAATGATTTTGTGACGTGTACACCGCCACCAAGATCACCAAGGTTCCAGATCGTATAGACACCTTTGCAGAGAGGTGCATGATGCTGAAGAAATGGGAGGCACAGCGGGTTCGCAGCAGCGTTTGGAGAAGGAACCCGACCACCAGAGACTGGTTTCCTAATGTGTTAAAGGTGCCCGAACTGGCGTTATGTAAAGCCAGTTTTGTTGCGCACGTACTATTGCGAAATGAGGCTGCTTGGCATGTTGCAGTTCGAAAACCATTCAGGTGAAAAATGCACTAATGCAGCAATTGGTAGGTCAATTTCATGATTTTTACCTGTCGATAGGCGTTGATGGCTAGTTCCCAACCCCAAAATTTCTAAAGAGATGTGAATGATCAACCAAGACCCAGGACCCAGTGGGAGTTGGCTTCGTTGAACTTTGCATTGCTTCCTGTAGGCGATACATCACCGGCTACCCCAGGGACAGCATTGCAGCCAGGAGGAGAAGTTCCTGATCCATGTGTTGCACGAGGTGCCTGGAAAGCGCAGCGCTTTCCATTTTGGAGATAGGGCCATGGCGGCCATGGGTTTGTTTGTCTATCTATCAAACTAACTGACCAACTAACTGACTAACTAATTAACTAACTACCTAACTATCCAACAAACAAAGAAACTAACCAACTATCTAACAAACAAACAAACTAACAAACGAACTAACGAACGAACGAATGAACAAACTCAGTAATTAACTAACTAACTAACTAACTAACAAACAAACTAATTAACTAACTAACTAACTAACTAATTAGTTAACTAACTAACTAACTAGCTAGCTAACTAACTAACTAACTAACTAACTAACTATCCAACTAACAATCTAACTAACTAACTGACCAACCAACTAAGCAACAAACCAACTAACCAACTAACCAGCTAACTAACTAGCTAACTAAGTAGCTAACTAACTAACCAACTAACTGACTAGCTAACAAACCATCTAACAATCTAACAATATAACAGTCTAACTAACTAACTAACCAACCAACCAACCAACCAACGAACTGACTGACTGACTGACTGACTAAATACCAAACTACCTAAGTAACTAATCCATCTATATATCTATTCATTTTATGTTATTATTATAGCATAGGTACTTTCAACGCAAATCAATGATGATGTAGATGGGCAGCATCTGAACTGTTTGATTTTTGCACCTTTCGCATTGTGAAATGAACGAAGACAATTACCGCACTGTAAAAACCACAGCTTGGCTCCAAGGTTGGCCAGCATGATATACTGCACAGGTTGGGCGAGCATTCCGCGCTGGGCAGCTCACAGAGGATCAGATCCGTCAGTTGGAGGAGATCCCAGGAATGCCACAGAGGTTGGAGAAGTGGAAGCGGCTGATGATGAAGAAGGCCCATCCTTGGGATCATGTAGTCTCACAGCAGAGATAGCCAGACGTAAGTAAGGATGGAATGGGAAATCATGGTGCCCCAAGTCCCAAGAACAATGATTGCTTAAGGGACCTTTGAGCATCATTGCAATCATGCACAAGTACATTCATCAAGCAGCTGTGCAGGAAGCTCGAGCCAAATGGACTTGGTCTGAAGGATGTAATGCCTTGAAGGAATGGCTGAAGAGCCATGGAAACAGCGACTCGTCGGGCTATTTGCACGAAGTTCACTCTTTCTTTCTTGTCACTAGCTTTGATGTGGGGTTTGATGACCCCGCGAAGCAGCCTCAGCCACCAGCAAGAAATGAATGCCGGTTTTGGAAGTTGTATCCATTAGGGGTTTGCTGGTACATGAGTGTCCATACAGACAGCTAGGGGTGCTGGCCCAGTTGGCCAGTCACAAAGGGGGAAAACATGACAAGATGAGAATGTATTGTGGCAGCTGGTCATGCATCGAGAGAACACTTTTGTCTTGTTTTGAGGAGGTTTGTTTCTAGGGCTGTAACCTCAATGGGTTCGGGCCATTCGACTTGGCGTTCGCCCTCCAGATCCCATCACGAGTTTCGAAGGAAAGCCACGCAGTGGTGGGGAGCTCCATGAGTACGCCCTTTGGGAGTGGTTGTCAGCAGCCAGGCTGGTGAGTGTTGGGAAGAGCGGGCCATGCTCCATAACTGTTTAACTTCTACCGATTCTACCTTTGGAAAGCAGGTTCAAATTGAGGGGACAAATGGTAACACACAACACATTGCAACACATTGCAACACACGGCAACACATGGTAACACATGGTAACACATGCTAACAGAGGACCCAAGACGAACAGCTTAGCAAGCATCAAAACCGTTCTTCCTCGGCAGGAAGCGATTCATCAAGGGCCGCCTCAGGGAGGAAGAGATTAGAGAACTGGAGCAGCTCCCTACCATGATGTGGGAGCTCCTACAGTGTCTTGGCTAGTGCTGCTGCTTGTGATCATCGGAGGCGAGATGGCCAGCTGTAAATGTTCAAAAACTGATGCCAGGCTAATGCAGTTCATCGTAGCTCATCTTTGTTTCTTTGGTTCTTGTTCCACAGTCATGAATGTCAACAATGAGTTCAAGCTCTTCGCCCCAAAAGTCAGAGAAGCACTGGGGATGGCCAATGATATCAATCAAGCCCCTAAGGTGGGAAGCACGATGGGGCCCAGAGGAACGTTGGCAGCAGCATGCGCAGGAGCCCCGAAAATATGACGGCCTTGCATGGCCTTGGTATGCCTTGGTGGCGCGCCGAAGCTCCAATATATTTTACACGTGCTTGAGATGTCGTACCAAGCCTGCCAGTCAATTCGTACTAGGACCCTAGGAGACAATTATTTGGTGCTTTATTCACGTCTACGCCTCGTGTGCGCTTTCCAGTGGCAGCAGGAGTTCCAAAGTTGGGTGCAGAACCGCAGTTTTCCAGAGGAGGCAGCTGAGAAAGAAGACTCACAGGGCTGAACATCATTAATGTTGGCTGCCTAATAATAAATACCCCCCCCTAAATTTTAATTTTTAAAAAAATATTTTTTTGGGGGGGGTCAACCTTCCTATAATAATCTATTTGTGGGAATCTATAGCTGGGATCATGATATGTAATTACTGTATCTGATTGATTCTCCATGGTTTTGTTGGGTTTCTGTTAGATTCTGCATAGGGTTTGGTTAGATTTCTGAGATGTTCTGCATAGGTTCTGCATGGATTAGGGTTGGTTTCTGTTAGATTCTGTATGGATTTGGTTTAGTTTCTGTTAAAATCTGCATGGATTTGGTTTAGTTTCTGATGGGATCTGCATTGGATTTCTGAGATGTTCTGCATGGATTTGGTTTAGTTTCTGATGGGATCTGCATAGGATTTGGTTGGATTTCTGAGATGTTCTGCATGGATTCTGCTTAGTCTTGGTGAAGTTTCTGGTGGATTGTCATTGGATTCTGATTGAGGACCTCTGTTTTCTGATAGGCTTTGGTGGGATTTTCATTGGATTCTGATTGATAACATCTGTTTTCTGATAGGCTCTGATGGGATTCTCATTGGATTTTCTGTACCTGGGATGGATTCTGATGAATGGTCTGATGCTTCTGTAGCTGTGATAGTCTGATCTGCTCTGTGATAGTCTGGCCATGCCATTGCTGCCTGATCTGTGGGACACAGCCCTTGGTTGCATCCTGGATCTGGTCACTCTGGGCTGCCAGATCTCTGTCTACATCTGGCTGCTGCTTCTGGCATTTGGTGGACATGTGCTGGTGGGCTATGGCTTGGTGACTCTGGGAGAGTTTCTGCAGCTGGCACTGCTGTGTGTGGTGATCACTCTGCTGAGTGGCATTCTGCAGGAGCTGAAGTGGCATGGTGATTATCTGAGAGCCCATGGTGTAAAGCTGGACATTCTGATCGAACCCAGCATTTCTGCTGGCTAGCTCTGATTTTCTTGGAGCTGAAAAGTCTGCTTTTCCCAATGTAGTTGCATTCTGTTTTATCTGAGAGTTGAGAGTCCAATGGAAGTCTGTGAGAGTCTGATTGCCTTCTGATTGCATTAGGTTCTGATGGTTTCTGATAAGGGTTTCATTGGATTCTGATGCATTCTGTGCAGCATCTGCATGTATATATACTATAATATATATATATATATATTATATACACATTATACATACTATATATATATATACTATATATATATATATATTCTGATGATGTTCACTGGATTCTGCTGGTTTTTCTGAAGCTGTCCATTGGATTCTGCATGGTCTTCTGCAAGTGCCTCATTGGAATCTAGATGGTTTTTCTGCAAGTTTTTCTGATGATCTTCATGTGATGCTGTTGTGAATTTGCAGCATTCTGGCCTAGATCTCTGGCATTCTGGCGTTCTGATTCTCACTCGCTTTCTGGTCTTCTGATCATGTCGATGTCTCTGTCCATGGATGTCCCCTCTGAGACTGGTGCTGGTGCTGGCCCTGGCTCTCTGGATCATCTGAATGATCCTGACAAGAGGAACAGGGTGGCCACCAGGTCTCTGTGCAATCTGCAGCAGGAGATCTCTGCCTACAGGGCTGCCAAAGATGGCAGGGGCTATGTGCACAGCTCTGGTCTGTGCACATATGCCGTTCTGAAAGGCAGGGTGCGCTGGGAGTTACTTGTTTTCTGTTTGATTTTTTTCATTTTTGTATGTGTTTGTGGTTTACTTTTGTTTTTTTCTTCTTTGCTGGTTATGTTTTTTTTAATTCTGGAACCTGCTTAGGATGGAGAACTATCTGGGCAGTGGTGGACCTCCTTGCCTCTGGAAATGGATCTGCCTAATGGCCTGGCTGTCCTGTGCCTGTGAGCTGCTGTACCAGTCCATCGATGCTGGCATGAGCTCTCTGAATGTTGCTGCTGTGAGCAGAAATCTGGCACTGGTCTGGACAGAGTTTCTTGGCTTGCTTTTAAGCATTATGTTTAGTATATAGTGTGTATATATATATATAGTGTATATATATATATATACACAATTGTTTAGTATATTTATAGTAATTAGTATATTTAGCATATAATATATATATATATATAACTATATATAATATTTATAGCATATATATATAGTTGTTTATTCTGTTTACTGTTCTGGTTTGGAGCTTCATGCTTCTGAGGATTCCTTGCTTCTGCGCTTCTGAGATCACTGTGTCTCCTGCTGATTGCACTCTGCCTGAAGGCTTTGAACTCTGGGCTCTCTGGGTCAAAAGCTGTGACTTGATCAGCTGATTGCATGTTTTTTTTTCTAGTCTTTTCTTTTTGTTTGCCATTTGTTTTGGTTTGTTTTTGTAATCTCTAATGCCCTTATTCCAGGCTTCTCTGAGTGCCAGCAACAGTTTGTCTATGTTCTGGAGCTCGCTGAAGCCAATGGCAAAGATTCTGATCTGCTGATTTCCCAGGCCTGGGTCTATTCATTGGCTGCAATGTTCTGTTTTTTTTTGTTTGCCCACTATTTTTTTAATTGCTTCCCTGCAGGTGAACTGGCCTCTGGAGTTTCTGAAGCCACCTCCTCTGACTGCAGCAGCCAAGGCTTCCATGAAGAGGAGGAGGGAGGCGATGATGTGAGCATCTGGTGATCTGCTGGTGCTGCTCTGCTGGTCTGGTACTGGAGCCTTGGTTTTCTTTAGTTGTCTGCATGTTTGGGGGGAAAGGTTCTGATTGTTTGTGCATAGTTTCTGATTCATGTTGGGTGATTCATGTTTGAAAGGTTCTGCATAGATTCCTATTGGTTTCTGATTCATATTGGCTGATTCATTTTTGAAATGGTTTCTGATTAATTTTCATTGGTTTCTAATTCATGTTGGCTGATTGCAGGATCGATTCTGCTGCAGCACCTGGCTGTAATCCATGGCCTCTGTGAGATCTGGCCTTGCAATTTTGCAACTCTGCTCTGAGAACTCTGGAACAACAATTGAGGAGTCTCTGGCAAGTTTCTGCATGGCTTCTGAGTAGATCTGGTTCTGCATGACTTCTGGTGAGTGAACAGTTAATATTTGAATCTGATAATTATTATCTGAACATGATAGGATATGATATGAATTTGTTTTAATTTTCTGACCAGGTACTCTGGGGCAGCAGCTGGATTCTGGCAGTGGTCTGGCAATGGTGGCAAGCAGCTCTGGCAGTTCTGGGTCTGCTGGGGGACCTGGGCAAGGACTTGTTTCTGTTATGTTCTGCATGTGGTTCTGCAGTTGATTCTGCATGTGTTTCTGCAGTGGATTCTGTAGTTGAGTCTGCACCTGTCTCAGCATTTGTTTCAGCATTTGATTCTGCAGTTGATTCTGTATGTGATATATATATATATATAGATAGATAGATAGATAGATAGATAGGTAGATAGATAGATAGGTAGATAGATAGGTAGATAGATAGATAGATAGTTAGATTAGATAGGTAGATAGATCACATACATACATACATTACATACATTACATACATTACATACATTACATACATTACATACATTACATACATTACATACATTACATACATTACATACTTACATACATACATTACATACATTACATACATTACATACATTACATACATTACATACATTACATACATTACATACATTACATACATTACATACATACATACATACATCCATGCATGCATGCATTACATTACATTACATTGCATTACATTACATTAGGTTACATTACATTACATGCATGCATACATACATACATCCATGCATACATACATACATACATACCTACCTACATACATACATACATACATATATACATACATACATACATCCTTATTGGCTTTCCTGCTCAATTGCCTTCCTTCTCTTGCTTTCTTCCTTCCTTCTCTTCCTTCCTTACTCAATGGAAAAACAAGAACCACTAATTAATTGGAATTCATTATTGCCATGCCTGGTGCAGGTTTATTATTGCTATTCTGGGGCGTGTAGAGGGGATACCCTTTGTGGACATGTTTTCTTGCTTTTTTAAATAAGGGTTTTATAAGGAAATCAGCTGTTTGGTAATTGGATCAGATTTCTGGAATCTAAGCTTTTGTTAATGAAAAGTGCTTGCTGCTTTGAAAAGGGTTTTGCTTTACTTTGCTTTCTCCAAACATCTGAAAACAAAAGCAGGGGAAGCACCATTGGAATTCATTATTGCCATGCCTGGTGCAGGTGTATTATTGCTATTCTGGGGTTTGTAAAGGGGATACCCTTTGTAGACCTGTTTTGTTGCTTTTTTAAATAAGGGTTTATAAGGAAATCAGCTGTTTGGTACTTGGATCAAATTTCTGGAATCTAAGCTTTTGTTAATGAAAAGTGCTTGCTGCTTTGAAAAGGGTTTTGCTTTACTTTGCTTCTCCAAACATCTGAAAACAAAAGCAGGGGAAGCACCATTGGAATTCATTATTGCCATGCCTGGTGCAGGTTTATTATTGCTATTCTGGAGCTTGTAAAGGGGATACCCTTTGTGGACCTGTTTTCTTGCTTTTTTAAATAAAGGTTTTATAAGGAAATCAGCTGTTTGGTAATTGGATCAGATTTCTGGAATCTAAGCTTTTGTTAATGAAAAGTGCTTGCTGCTTTGAAAAGGGTTTTGCTTTACTTTGCTTTCTCCAAACATCTGAAAACAAAAGCAGGGGAAGCACCATTGGAATTCATTATTGCCATGCCTGGTGCAGGTTTATTATTGCTATTCTGGAGCTTGTAAAGGGGATACCCTTTGTGGACCTGTTTTCTTGCTTTTTTAAATAAGGGTTTTATAAGGAAATCAGCTGTTTGGTAATTGGATCAGATTTCTGGAATCTAAGCTTTTGTTAATGAAAAGTGCTTGCTGCTTTGAAAAGGGTTTTGCTTTACTTTGCTTTCTCCAAACATCTGAAAACAAAAGCAGGGGAAGCACCATTGGAATTCATTATTGCCATGCCTGGTGCAGGTTTATTATTGCTATTCTGGAGCTTGTAAAGGGGGTACCCTTTGTGGACCT